TACGCTGATGAAATATGTTTTTATAAGAATCAGATGCTTCATTTACATTAGAGGAATCCGATGAGATGTAAGCTCTTTTCATAGATGTCCAGCAGGGGCGGGATAGAAAGTTACAACAAAACATGCAAAAACACGATAGGAGTGTAAAGTCTAGGAACGGTAAGCAAGTCACAAACAAAACTATTTTTTTTATCTTACCAGGTAAAGCCCACTGAGCTGTATTGCTCTTTTTCGATTCAAAGCTTTCGTGACTGCAGGGATTCATATTCTTGGTTCTTTCGGTAAAGTCATGTAGAAGGGAAATAATAAAATAATACAAATACAACATAATAAAATAAAAGCAGGCTGCTTGCGTTGTGGCCGAAACGTCGTGAGAATAGTTATTTATTATGTTTTAATTTTATTATTTTATTATTTCCCTTCTACGTGACTTTACCGTAAAGAACCAAGGATATGTATAGCTCTTTTTCAGAAGCGACCTGGCCACAAATGATAGCTACGAAGTGGCTTATCATGTGGAAATGTATAGCAGCCAAATAATCTAAAACAATCTCATTCGTGTTTTGTGCAGGTGAAAATCTCTGTCTGTGACTGGATTTTTGTGACGCTATTTGATTTTAAGTATTATTTATTGTTTATCCAGCTTGCAGGAAGTTGTGTTATGCAGCTCGTGTAAATAATTTGTTGTTGTTTTAGCTCTTGTGAACTTTCACTCTTCCCACCCTGCGATGACCTTTGACTTGTCGCCACTGTCAGCGGTTCTTGGGCTGTGGTCGTCCAGGTAATATAGCTGCTTAGCCCAATGGAGACCTTTCCAGTCCCAATAAAGATTCGGAAGTTATTATTTAACTTTAGCAAATATATATATTTTCATATATATATATTTTTTTTTATATATTTTTTTATATATATATTTGCAAAGGCGGCCACTGCATCGTGCGCTTTCAGATGCGCTTCAGTGGCCGTCTGGAACGCTCTTCCTTCCAATATTAGGAAGCCACTGGAGCTATCCATTTTAATATCTACATTGAAAATGTTTCTCTTTAGAACTGCTTTTCGTGTTTAATTTTGCTGTCCTTCCCCCCGCACCTACGATGAGCACGCTTGACTACGTAATGTGCGAAAGAAGTTCAACACAGGTACGTATGTACGTAGACGTAATTTTCACCTGCTTACGAGTACAGTGATTTAATTGGACGATTGATTCCCACTCGTTAAATATTTTACGTATCGTTAAAATCGATGTTCACAACGATGTGGCAGTGTTCGTTTGTGATGATGTACTCTGAGCCAGACGTCACCATGGACTATTGATTAAAACCTGTAAACATCACAGGCAACGTAATGCTATTAGCTTACATATGGAACGTATAGTACACATTGTATGACTGTAATTTAGTGTCATTCTGTTTGCAATATTTCACATGCTAATGACGTTTACCATACATTAATAAAAATGTGTTCTTATTAAGTTCCATTTTGCGTGCTATATTGCATTAAAGAGCTTCGGTATAATGCGTGAGCTTACTGCCTATTCATAATCCCGGTTCGATTATACTGACAAAGTCATACCGATCTCATGCCACCCTTATTTTGATGCACCATCAGTCATGGTGTACTAATCATAGAGTGGAATAAGTGCAATGCATTATTTCGTAAGTGCATTGACGTGAGGGCTGGACGAGTGTATTGCAAACCAAATGTATGCGTGTATGTACTCGCAATCAGTAACAGACGTCACCTGCTCGCTCTCTCTCTCTCTTGGTGTTAGGGTCACACTCTTCTCAAAAATACCTTGAAATGTGAGTCGTCAGATGTTACATTTCGATTCAGCACCAAAGAATCATACAGGCATGGTATTTCGTTGTTCATAGGTTCAAAAGTAAAATAATAAAAGTCCAATATTTCAGTTCCAAATTTTTTTATTAGAGGTTTTGGAATTTGTCTATATATAATCATAAACTGGACAATATTTCAACATGCATACTATTCCGTCACTCAGAAGCCATACTATTAGATATATGTCTAATATATCTAGGTATATAAGGCACATGTGAAAACAATTCTATGTATCCTATCTATATTCCAAACAACTTTGGTTAATGAAGGGCATTTGTTTGAATATCAATGTGAACTTGAAAGCTGATATACATGTTCATAGCACAGTATGCTCATGACTGTGATGATGCAATAATGTGTGTGTCACTGCTCTATAAACTCAGTGAGTGATCTGAGTTTGATTTCGGACTGGGACTGAGTCGTGGGCATCTGTTCACCAACCTGCACTGACCAGCTTGGTGAAGTATGGTCAAACAACCCCCATGAACGACAACCACCGACGAAGCCTACATCTCGGAGTGGATTAATAATGTGCTACTATAATACTGGTAGGAACCACCTGGTTCCACCAGCCCACAGGGGATTATTGTGTCCGTCCATCCGTCGTGCATCCAAAAATTGGAGGGGTGGGACTGGGTGAAGAGGGGAGGGTGGGGAGGGGCTGGGTGGGGTCGGTGGGGATTTGCTGGGTGGGGAGGGGAGGGTGGGGAGGGGCTGGGTGGGGAGGGAGGGGCTGGGTGGGGTGGGTGGGGAGGGGAGGGTGGGGAGGGGCTGAGTGGGGAGGGTGGGGCTGGGTGGGGGGTGGGGTGGGGCTGGGTGGGGAGGGGCTGGTCACCCCGTGGTGCCCTTATAAAATCCAACGTTTAACCTACTCACGCTGGCTTGTGCCCGCCCTCACAGTCGGGCATATTTGCGGAATACACCACGCTGCCGTTGACCCTGGCCATTGACCGAGCAACCCAACGTTCTTACCAGCTCCCTCCGCAGGAATGTGTTTTACTATGTTTATTGCATGGTGCTTGCATTTTCGTGCCTAACCATGCATGTATCTATCATGCAGCCGCCCTACTTACTCTATGCTTTTAGTTTCATCCATTTTTCTTTTGTTGGGAGTATGAACGGCATACTCTTATTGATTGGCCCAACTGTGACAAGCAAATGTCAATGCGTTTGCTTGTCATGTCGGCAATGTAGGGCATCAATGACATTGCATGGTGTGAGTCACTCCTGCTCAATCTGCCCAACGCGTACCTTCAAATAAATGTTGGTTTATCATTTGATGTTGCTGTCTGTAATGTGCTGTGTGTGGTTGCCCTGCACATAATTTTGATATTTTTTCAGTATTTGGTCACAATACAAATTACATTATTATCAGCAGCATTCACATGATGTGATTAAACAACGTTAGTTAAGGCTTGGTGGGGGAGGGGGGGTGGTCTGTCGCTTGTTGTAATGTGCCCGTGGCATGACATGCTTCGTTCGTCTGTGTTGTCAATGTTCAGAAGCCAACTTGCTCCTCTTTACGTCCTCTTGCAAGACCCAAGCGACCTTAACTTGTCAGCAATGATGAACGGGAATTGATTCCAAGTAGTGTACGTGTGTGTGTATATATATAGAGGGAGACGGAGTGAAGAATCGATTTCTGAATCGATTACAGCTGCCAAGAATAGTGCGCCGTGCACAGCAAGGCTGACAACATGAATGAATGAATGTGGGAGAAATTTAACGATAACGACACGCACGGGTATACAGTGGATAATTTGTCTCAGGGTTTAAACGGGTCTAATCTGGCTGGCCTTGGCAGTAACAATCACGCCAGCTATAATTAAGCTTATTCCTCTGTTTGGCAGCTTAAACGAATCACTGTGCTTCTTATGCTACCCAAACACACGAGGGCTCGACAGCGTCCTGCAAGTGACTGATGTAACCTGTACTATTAAGTCGGGGTTTCTTAAGACCCAAGTCCTCATGACCCACCACATCACGCCGTTGTTCCATGTTTACCAATCTGTCCTTGTTCTACACACACACATTAAGTCGGTACACAATACTCAATACGCCTGGTGATTGCTAAACACGTCCCACGCGTTACTTAGAGAGTGCTGATTCAAAATTGAGACGGACATTGTGCTGTGTCGCGTGGATCACACACAATACATATCTGTCAATTTAAAATTAGTGCCCTTATGTGTCACGTGGAAAATACACGTTTTAAACAAAAAATATTACTACTATAATTAGCCAAGAACGTCTGTTTGTGTGTAACGCACGTGACGCCCCTCCATATGCCGCACACCCCCCTCCCCGTCATTAATATTCATGAGCGGGTGGATTTTTGGAAAATTTTTTTTTCGCAAATTCGCTTTAAGTTTGACGTTTCTTTATTGAAAGTTAATCTAATGAATAATTATACGCGGTAACAAAGTGGATTTGATGTCTTTATTTATTTCTTCAGCACTTGAGACAAAAGGCAAGTCTAATTTATGCTTCGACATTATGGTAAAATATAAATTTCTCGGTGATTTTCCAGATATTGTATCGAATTCCAATTTATTTCAACCTCAGCGACCGAAAGCAGATGAGAATAAAGTATCAGAGCAGTGAATTTGAACAAATTGAAGGTCGGTTATATACAGTGCTACAGTGAACTGCAGTGAAGTGTTTGATGACTTACTTTAATGCACGCTTCACTGCCATTAAATTTACACAAGATACGATTATACTCTGCTACATTTTTTCGTAAATATTACAGCTTCCGTCCTGGGACTGGCAAACAAGCTAGTATATGTAAATTACCAGGTAAGACCGACTGAGCTATGTAGCTCTTTTTCAGAAATGATCTGGTCACGATTGATAGCTCAACGAAGTGGCTTATCATGTTGAAATGTATAGCAGCCAAATACTCTCTAAACGCGTGATGTTGATTCTAAACGTGCAGGGATAAACCGGAGGACCCGGAGAAAGATCCACGTGACACGCGAGGAGAGAGAGAGAGAGACGCAAACTCCAAGCATACAGGCGTCAGGTTTGGAATCGAACCCACGACTTCCTGTATACCAGGCGAGGTAGTTACACCACGTGGGAGACATAAGATAGATTCCCCCAATATAGCCTTTTTTTTTTGGGGGGGGGGGAGTTCTGCCCGCAAATACGTAGCTATAATGTCCTGTACGGCGCACAAGGGGATTGGTGGTGTGGCCAGGACCAATGGCAAAGGGATGCCGCGGTGACGAGATGTTAACTTCCTCGCCTCGTATACAGGAAGTCCTGGGTTCTATCCCGACCCTGACTCCTATATATTTGCATGTTTCTCTCCTCATGGTCGTGTAGATTTTTCTCCGGGTCCAGACGGCCGCAGAAGCGCATCTGAGAGTGCACGATGCAGTGGCCGTCTTTGTTCGATGGCTAGCCAAAATGTTGCAAATATATATTTGTTGCAAATACATATATATAAAATAAATAACCTCCGAATCCTTATTGGGACTGGAAAGATCTCCATTGAGCTAAGCAACTGTATTACCTGGACGACCACAACCCAAGAACCGCTGACAGTGGCGGCAGTCAAAGGTCATCGCAGGGTGGGAAGAGTGAAAGTTCACAAGAGCTAAAACAACAACAAATTATTTACACGAGCTGCATAACACAACTTCCTGCAAGCCGGATAAGCAATAAATAATGCTTAAAATCAAATAGCGTCACTAAAATCCAGTCACAGACAGAGATTTTCACCTGCACAAAACAAATTACATTATTTAAATTATTTGGCTGCTATAAATTTCCACACGATAAGCCACTTAATGAAGCTGTCACGATAAGCCACTTAATTAAACTCAGAGCTTGCATGGCTTTATCCTCACGGTCGCGTGGAATTTTCTCCCAGTCCTCGGGGTTTTTATGTCCACATTTAGAATCAACATCACACGTTTAGAGAAATTGGCTGCGATACATTTACACGTAATAAGCCACTTCGTTGCGCCATCATTCGTGGCCAGCTCGCTTCAGGAAAAGAGCTATACAGCTCAGTGGGCCTTACCTAGTAACATAAAACAAAATCGTTTCATTTATTTGGTATAGCCCTGTGAGCCATTCGGCTCTTGAATCGGGTGCAACTGCAACAAACAAAAACATAAACAAGAAAACATCTTAAAGTGACTATGTGACTATGTGCAAACAGAAAATCCAAGAAAAGACAGCAAAATATTGCAGAAAAAGTACCGTACACCAACGCTCTGTGCAAAAATCCCAGTGGGATGCAAGTCAAACAACAACAACCACAAGACAACTTAGATTAAGACCATCAGTCTAACTCCGTACTACAACAAACAAATATGGCCAAACCAAAAACACGTTTTCGAAATCACCAAAATAAAGCCATAAAAGCAATGTAACAGCGATCATAGGGACTGTGACCGTAAAGCCTTGAAACAGCCTCTTGGTGCAAGTGTTCACTATAAAGGTGGGTGACCAATACCACACCAGGACGCCTTTGTCTCCCCAGTGATGATGTTTACACACCGCACCGGGTACTCATTTAAAAGGTGAGTCAACCTGCAACCCGTTCAAGATATTTTTTCGCCAGCGATGTTGTTTGTGGGCTGTGATTGGAACCCCGGTGGACGGGTTCGTGGCGCAATGTGCGCTTGGCACGACAACACTGGCCAACACCACACACACAAAATCACACACGCTCACAATCTCACTATTAATTTGAAGAAGCCATCTGTCACGTAGCACGTGATAAGCAATAATTAGGGGTGCAAAGCAATAATTTATGGTTGTACATATAAGATGAGTAAAGTATAGAAAGACAAAGTCACGTGGAAGGGAAATAATAAAATAATAAAAATATCAAACAATAAAATGCTCACGACGTTTCGACTGCAACACAAGCAATCATCATCTGATGATGATTTGCTGTGGATTTTACACCTGATGATAATTGCTTGTGTTGCAGTCGAAACGTGAGAATTTTATTATTTTATTATTTCCCTTCTACGTGGCTTTACCGAAAGAACCAAGAATACGAATCCCTGCAGTCACGAAAGCTTTCAATCAAAATGTATAGAAAGGCACTGGAGTTTGCCATTCCCCTGCCGATGGTGACAGTGGCATTGGTGATGTGTTTAATGTGTCTTCTCCGTCCACTACAATGGTCTTAGTTGCAGATTATACCTCCCTTAGTAATGCCAAACACCGTGTAAGATAGCCTGGGCAAACTGGTTAAACGGGATCACCTGTGTAACAAAATGAACTCAAAACTCGTGATGTCAGGATGATGGTATTTACAAATTGCAAGGTCCGAGGCCATCATTACAAATGCCCACTAGGAGCGCATTTGTTTACATGCACAGTCCTCTGTGAAAATAATCTAGTTTATCACGATAAATCGTGTATCTCTTCTAAATTGCTGCTTATTAATTGCGTTTAAAAAATGTTAATGTAAAGAGTTGTTGCCAAGTTTTTTTTTTCATCCACAATATATTAACCTCGAGTATGAAACTTTACATCATAATACACACTTTAAAGTCCTCGATTTTTTTTCTCTCCCCTCAAAATATATATTTACGTCAAGTCAATTTCAACTGTAAAACGATGTGTTTGTAATGTAAAAAAAACCGAGGACGTTAATATAAAAACGCTGTAATTATATGCGAGGGTGCCAGCAGTGGCTGTGATGGCACGGGGCTGATCTGAGCGCGTACACCGCTCGCTCGCATTCCTCGCTTGAGCCGAAATGTGCAATCGCTGTCTCGTCTAAGTTAATAATTAAGCGCTCTAAAGCTGCTAGTTATTGACATTTCAAATTAAACTTACACGTCACCCGTGTCAATAGTGAGACCAGGTCGTGATACATCGCTCCAACTTTCTGCTCCCATCGTCATCCGTCCGATCACGGTCAGTGTTTTGTTATACTGTAATCATAAATTATTTTGCTTTCCGTAATAGCAACACGTATCTGGTGCAGTTCATGCTCTTGCCGTGTGCGTGTTATCTTTTGTCTGGTGATTAACGCGCTGATAGTTTGCTGTATTTTGAATGCGGTGAAAGGTAGTCGAAAGGGTCGCGGCCTAGCGGGCCTCGGTCAGCCTCGGTCTCGCTTGGAACACCTGCCGGCCAACCCCCCTCGCAGGTCCGGGTCGAGCGTGCGGTGTTGAGCGTCAATGTCTCGGCCTCCTTTACCGAGAACTCGCACTGACCACGAATGGGGAGATGTCCAGAGGATACGTGACAACAACTTGTAAGGGGCCCTTTGAAATCTCTTCTTTTATGGCAATTATTTGCATCTCCATGGGAAACAGCTACAGTTATACGCGGCTGTGGATTTTTTTGTTTTACCAATGTTGACAATTGGGATTTGGTTTTTTGTTGTTAAATTGACCCTTATGGCGCGTACAGTCGGTTAATCTCCAAATGCCACGGCGTGCGTGGAACGTAATCGCAGCCACAGTAACTCGGTGTCTCAATGCTGGGTCGTGCTTTGTGTGGAGAAACTAAACGGCGATCATTTCCCCTTTTTGCCGGCTGCACTCACACGCCGCCACTCGTCAATCTCACGGCCACGCGAACTGACCGCCCTGGCACATGAAGAACAAACATCTTCACTGCTTTGCACGAGGCCGCCTCTCCGCCGAAGTTGCCACCACCGTGTCCGCGTGACAGGAATTGGTCTGCACAGAGATCTGTTAACCGGCATTGTTGTTGTTGGACTTTGTTGCGAGTTTGGAGCATAGTTTTGAGTGACCATAGGCGAACTGAGCTATTTTTCTGCTCTGGTATGTGAAAAAAAACATTGCAAACGTACTTCTCCCCGGGGTCGTGGGGGTTATTTGGCAGCGTGGACATGAGTCCATACTCAGTACGGTAGGACAATGGAGTTCCCTGCACTTCGCTGCCCACAGCAGCCTATAACTCCTATTTTAGGTGTCGCGTTTTCCCATACAAGTGTAATAAAACGGGTCGACGACAAGGGACCTGTGTCTCCGTCTCTTTATTTCTTCGTTATGGACAGCTCGCGTTCCGCTCTCCCGGTCACTCCGCGGCACGTCGCAGAACTGACGTCCCCCGCGCCGCTCTCGCGCTTCCCCCCCGCTCCCGCGCACCGCTGGCAGACGGCGCGCTGGAAGCCGTCTCCGCGTCGCCACGTGGCCGATGGCTCGCGGAGACTCCCGACGTAGCCCAGCTTCCAGCTCCCACCAACTGACCCTGAGCCCCTTCCGGCTCCCCCTTATATCCCCTTTCCACGTCACCCAGACTCCGCCCTTCGCCACACCCCTTAAGAACCTTCCAGAAAATACCCCTCCCTTAACGCCCCCCGGCTCCGCCCTTAGACCCTGCCCCCGATGCTTCGTGGCGCCTGATTGGCTTAGGGGCTGGGGCGGCGAAACCCCACATACTCTCGCATTACATCACCCTCCCCCCTCCCACGGTGTAAAAGACTAGCCGTCCCGGCTAAATCAAGACGAGACAACAATGCGAGCGACAGTAACACCGTAACGGACAATCGGAATAAAGAACAACACACAACAATAAAAACGGTAGCAATCAATGGAAGGGAAGGGACTTTGATCTGGTACGGGACGCCAGTCCATCCTTCATGAGATTAGGGGCCCTCGCCGAAGAGCGGTGGGATCGACATCCCTCGCCGCTGGTGGAGGCCCGTCCGGTGCAGGATCCCCTGCGTCAGGTTGGCTCAAGGTCGCCGAGCCTGTGGGAGGCACAACAGGCACCTTCGGAGGTTGAACAGGCAAGGGGGGTGGCATGCCGGACATATCAGACACCGGCAAGGCATCTTTTGGGGATGACGAACCGACGCGAGGGCCAAAGAAGGACTTCAACCGGGAAGTGTGGACATACCAACGGCGCGACCCCACCCGGATGCGTGCGCACTGGGGACTAGGAACCTCAATCAATTCCACCGGACCTTGCCAAGGTCTGTGCAGCTTAGGAGAGGTCCCCACCGGCACCTGTGGGCAATTGAGCCAGGCCCGGTCCCCCACATGCCATGGCGATGCGCGTTGGGAGCGCCGAGCACACCGCTCGCTACGGGCCTGGGTTTTAGACGTGGCCAACCGTGCCGCATCCCGCACCTCCGTGACGCGGCGAACCGTGTCGCGAAAATATTCGGGGAGAGTCAGCGCGGGCTCCTTGGCGCACACACCCAACTGCACATTAACAGGCGGCACGTTCTCACGCCCGTACGTGAGAAAAAAGGTGAATACCCAGTGGACGCGATCGGTGCCATCCGGTAGGCAGAGAGCACCCCAGGGATGTGCAGATCCCAATCGGCCTGCTTCTCGCTAACCGTATGGCAGAGCATAGCCGACAGGGTCCGGTTCAACCGCTCCACCATCCCATCCGTTTGTGGGTGGTAGGGCGAAGTACGTATTTGCTTGGTGCCCAATGCGTCACACACATTACGCAACAGCTTAGACGAGAAGTTGCGGCCCTGGTCCGTAAGCAGCCGTTCGGGCGCTCCCTTGTCCATCACGTACCCGTATAAAAATGCCTCCGTGATGGATGACGCCGACTGATCGGGCAAGGGCCAAGCCATCGGCCAACGCAAGAAATATTCCACCCCTACCAACAGGAATTTGTTACCCCGGGCGGATGGGGGAAAGGGCCCAAAGATGTCTAGGGCCACCAGCTCGTTAACACGCGTTACCTGGATCGATTGCAAGGGAGGAACATAACGCTGTCTCGGTGGCTTCCGACGAGCGCACTCGGGACAGGCTTGAATGTCCTTGGCGACGTCCGCCGTCATGCTGTGCCAAAAATAGTCTCGCTGTAACGTGAACAAGGTTTTCTGCACGCCGAGAAGTTGTTACATCTTGGAGTACCCGAACCAATTCATACCGCAGCGCGACCGGAACCACAAAGCGCCAACGGCCCAGCAAAATCATCCCTCCACATGAGCAACCCGTCCCGGAGGGCCGCTCTGGAAAAGTGTCCGTAGACGAGTACCCCTGCGGCTTGCCCGCCTGACTCCGCAACGAGGTGAGTGATTCGTCCAACAGCTGCTCGCGGACCCACACCGAACGCGGCAAGTTCAACACCCCGTGAGCCGGCCCCGGACAGGTCGGGTCCGCGGAATCCGCCATCGCGGACATGACCAGGAATGGAGCGGAACACCACGAGAGAAACATCGTCGAGGAGCGTAGGCAAGGCAACGCCTCTCCCTCCGTCCACCGAACGGAGCGAAAGCGGACTGAAAGCGTCACGCGTAAACGCTCCAGTCCCCTCCTGCGCTGAACTCTTTCAAGTTCGGCAGACGATGGCTGCGCCCCGCGCCGCTGCCCCCATCAGGTTTATCCCCCACGCGCTAGGGTATCACGTGGTGCCATCAAAATGGCGGGAAGCCCAGCAGAGGCCGCAATGGCGGCAGATTCCTGCCCGAGTTAATCTTCCCCACTCGGCAGCGTGACATGTGGACGTCCCGGCGCTGTCGTTGGCGCGATGAGCGTCACCAAGGTGAGCAGTACGGCACGCAGCGAGTCGATTTGCTCCGCCACGTGCCGCCAGCCGTCGTCAGCACCCGGGGAAGAAGACGGCCCGGCCCCGGCGACCACCTCTTGCGCCCTAGCAGAGCCGCCCGTAGCCGCCCCGTCCGGGCCCCCCGCTCCCGGGACCGCCAGGTCCTGGGTGAGCTCGTCGTCGTCGGAAGACGGCGTAGGCGGAATTTTTTTCTTGAGATGCTTGGACATGTCAAGAACCACTTCTGACCCCAATTGTAATAAAACGGGTCAACGACAAGGGACTGTGTCACCGTCTCTATATTTCTTCGTTATGGACAGCTCACGTTCCACTCTCCCGGTCACTCCGCGGCACGTCGCAGACCTGACGTCCCGCTACCGCGCCGCTCTCGCGCTTCCCCCTCGCTCCCGCGCACCACTGGCAGACGGCGCGCTGGGAGCCGTCTCCGCGTCGCCACGTGGCCAATGGCTCGCGGAGACTCCCGATGTGGCCCAGCTTCCAGCTCCCACCAACTGACCCTGAGCCCCTTCCGGCTCCCCCTTATATCCACTTTCCACGTCACCCATACTCCGCCCTTCGCCACACCCCTTAAGAACCTTCCAGATAATACCCCTCCCTTAACACCCCCCGGCTCCGCCCTTAGACCCTGCCCCCGATGCTTTGTGGTACGTGATTCGCTTAGGGGCTGGGGCGGCAAACCCACATACACACGCATTACACAAGCACTATCCAAGCGCAGCCCTGCTCATCTTCCAAGACTGGACAAATTCCGGATAATTTGGCCATATGCTCGACTGTTTACTTAACTATTCAGCACTTAGGAAGTAAGGTTTGGTGGAATACTCACACACCCACTGTTGCAAAGTGGCCAGGAGAATGCGTTCCAATCGTTTCCTGAACCTGTCTGTGCAGAGTGAGGACACTTAAATTATATGCCCACATATGTGTGGTGGATGTTCTCAGGGTATTCAGGCTTCCTCTCATATGCAAATTATAGAAATATAACCCCCCCCCCAAACGTGCTCTTGCATAAAACTGCTGAAAATTGCTTTAAGACTAAGTGAGGCTTTTCAAGATTAGTATTTTTATAAGTGTTATGTAACAGCTTCATATTTTAACATTCAACACAATTTGAGAGGACATATGCTTGTTTACACGAAAGCTTATTCAATGGTGTTAACAGATTCACATACTCCCTTTAAGTTGCCTTCACCCCTTTGCCAGCTGTCACATGTTAAAAGGTAGCTGTGCAGTGATAGATGTGAAAGGCTTTTTGGAATTCTACCCTTTGGAATGTGCATTCCTCTGTAGGCATTTGACACACATGTAAGCTGCCTCTGGTGGTTTAAACGCAGTGATTTGGCGATAAACAATACAATTTGGGTTTACATATGTAGTTTATCTCAAAACCTTCAACTGGAATCTATCAAGACATGGCTAAGACAGAGTGTGTGTCTGGCTGTACATGCATACACGTTTTGTTTCTAATCTCAGTAGTTTATTTAATAGGTTTTGTCGTTCAGCATAATGTGGATAAGATTGAAGTTGGAATCTGAATATTTAAATGTTTACATGTTCATGATTACAAATGCATACTTTGTGTCGGTGATCTTCCATGAGGTTAGGGGCTCTCTGTAATAGCCGTAGCCTGAATGTTCACTTTTTTGGATGGTGTAGCCATCCACAAACCTGCAATGTTGAAAATTAACTGCTTTGAATCATAAGGGTTGTCTGGAGCTTGCCTACAACTCCGTGCTTACCTCTCCTCTGTCCACTTACCTGTTTGCGCGTAGCCAAAAGTTAAATTTGCTCTTGCTGAATAACCTCTCTGTATTGGATTTTGAAAACGTTATTTTTATTCCCTTTATAAAGCACTGGCTTTGTTTCCATGGGGAGTGTTTGATAAATGTGCTTCAATAAACATGCAAAAATGCCACAATAGTCTATAAAACCTTTGAATTATGCTGTACCTTTCGTGCATTTCGAAAGCTGCAATTTGCAATCATTTGCCATCTATTCGTATGCAATGAAATAGATTGCAAATGATTGCAAATGATTTGCAATCTATTTTCATTAGATAGATTGCAAATGATTGCAATCTATCAAATGAAAATGGGGTTTTGTGTACACAAAGCAACCATATCCAAGTAAACATGAAATGTTGGGCCAATGCTGAGTCATTGTTAGTCCAATGGTTTTAACCACATGCCAATATTACCCATGCATTTTGTCAAATAACTTGTTGATTTTTACATGAGTATAACAGCTAATTTGAATCGACATTTTAATGGCAACAGTGTGATACAGCTTCGGTAATATAGTGGTCAGTGTGGATGCCTATGTGACAGCTTAAATGGGATCAGGGTTCAATCCTTTTGACACTGGGTCATGTTTCGGGTTTATTGCCAAACACTGATGCACAGGATTTGTTAAATCTTATAGCAAACATCAGTAATTTAAAGATCGATTTCTACTAAATAATATACGTATTACCATAATATTGGTCAATGTACGGTGACCTAGAGATTTATTTCAAAAGATTTCTTGTGTATTTTGTCGGCTCTTACCTTGTCTTGAGTAAAGAAAATTGGGTTCGATTGAACAATATTTGCATGTTAATGTGATATGTTAATTGCTTTTAACATATAGAGTGTTGAACGTCTTTTTTTTGTACCTTGAAATGTAATTATGAGGGTTGTACATTGAAGTAACACATTCTTGAAATGGGCCAGACACATGTCAAGTGCTTGGAATAGGTCCCTGTCATCGAGTTAACTTTGCACTATCAAGGCCTGTGGATTCATATCTGTCATTTAACTTTACTTCATCTCAAATTAGTACTATTGTCGGTGTAATTGTTTTTATAGCAAATAAAATTCCCCCGAGTGAAGGCATCGTATATTGGTTTAGTTTTCACTCCATTTTGTGCAAAAAAAGTGGTCATTGACGGTTATAAATGGAATTAATTTGCCATTTTGCAACTTTAATGAGACTAGTAAATGCTGCCAGATTAAGTATTGAATATAACCATGGAAACTGTTATGCATGTGCCTTACAGACATCGTACTCTGACTGAAATTCAGAATTATGCTTGTTTTCACATTTGGTCTCATATAATATTGATGTAGGTAATGTAAACACGATCTTTAAATAAACAGTTTTCCCGTCTTGTTTATTCTGCAAATGCCATATGCCCTTGGGACTTTGTCTCTGTCCTAATTTTGACATGTGACTTCAAGGAGGGCAATTCGGGGCAGCTTGTATGTACTAAGACATCCATGTGTCACCTGTGATTTAGTATGTGCAGCTCCTAAATGAATCCCAGAACAGAAAATGCAATTTTAGAATGTGTAAATCTTGTGATGGTAAAATTGTCTGGTGCTGTGTTGCAATTGTTATGCTACAACATCTCAACAGCATCAACATCTATGGGGTTTAATAAAAAAAGAAACTGCGCGATACATAAAATGATGCAGGTTTGTGTAACTCTTCCTGCCTGCCATATGTTCTTTGCCCTGTACAATATGTTATTTATCAGTGCGTTCTCTGCAGTTGATCATTCAGGACATGAGAAGGCACCCTGTGGTTCAGACAGCAATTCTTCGCTGTTGGAAATGCCGACGGCCACTAATGGACTCGAGCAACTTGCTGAGCTCGCATGGAGAACAGCTGGTAACGACCACATGTATCCTAAAACCATGGCCCACAGTTGCATGTAAATACTGGCCAAGGCTATGGCCAAATCACAGTTACCGCATACTGATTTTTTATGTTTGCCGATTTCTAAAAATCTATGAACCATTCATTGTGCCAGATGATTTTACTTGGCAGTGTTTGTATTGAAACCGGCGCAAGGTCAGTTTTACCTCATTGGCAAATCTTTACAGAACCCCCGTGATTGTGAAGGCAAGTGTGAGAGAGAGGACGAGAGCTCCATCTGGTACATCAACCAAGAGAACGTCCCCTCCTGGCTGACGACAGAAATGGACAGGGTATCTACGCTTTATTCAAACTTTACACACTTTAGGAAAGTAACCATGTTTGCTAGATATGCGCACACATTACAAAAACATGTTAGTAAAGTATTTTAATATAATGCAACAAAACTCTAACTCGAATAGACCACATTTTAATAAAGACCTTTAAGGGATATCTCTTTGTACTGATTGTTTTTATTTATATAATGTACTCACATGTGGCTTTCAAAAATATTCTATTTTAGATATTTGTTATGAAGCAAACAATACCTTTGTCAACAAACCACGATGAATCATTTATGCACTTCCCCAGTGTTTTTCACAACAAGCGTGCTGTATTCGCGGATAATGAAAATGCTGATTTCCGTTTTCATAACACTCACCGTGTTTACGTGGTAGAGGCAGCACTTAAACCATCGTTTCTGTGCTTCTGCATAGAGCAAAATATCCTGATATTCCACAGTAACATGATGAAATTGTATAGGGAAAAAAGTTATTGAAATGTAAATATTATGCACATATCTCATACCTGCACATGTGCACTTCTGTAGAACACATACTGAATATGTGTTTTTTTTAAGTTGATGACCATCCTTTTTGTACATTACAGTCATAACTCACATGACCTCTGCGGCTGATGGTGGCAATTTTCAAAAGCTGCAGTGCGTTATGGAACGAGCTTTCGTGTACGAGAATAGCAGAGCCCTGCTGACAATTTATGCATTGTGACTATTTGTTTTCCATTCTGCCGGCTTGCAGGGTCAGTGGACAAAGGGTAAGCTTCATTGCCCACACTGCGGTGGCCGTTTGGGATCATTCAATTTTGTAATTCCCTCCAGATGCCTATGCGGTGAGTACATGGTCCCCGCTGTGCAAATCTGCAAGAGCCGAGTGGACTACGAACTGACTTCCCCACCAAACTCAATCGACGCGCAGTCGAAGCCCGATTTCATTCGGAGGGACCTGTGCCCGGCTGTGAAGGACCCCTTAACCGAGCCACCGCAGTCACTTCCCAGCAAAACGAGCTTGGAAGCCTGTTTACAGCGTTCTCTGTGCATGCCGCAGACTGAGCAGGGCAAGGCTGAGAGGTGCACAATCGAGAAGATTCTTCAGGCGTCGGTCCCGGCAACAGGACCTCCTCCCACACATGTCGTCAGAAGGCACAGGAAATGCTTCAGCTTGGACCTGAGAAACAGTGGCGGGAGTCCTCCTGCCGTTTACTCTCCCCTTGCATACAGGCGGTCGCGGAGCGCGACGGCGGTTTGGGGTAAGAGGGAAATTGGGAGCTCTCCCTGCATGTCCAGCTTGCTGGCTCACTTTCACAGGGAGCCTGCTGATGGTGAACGATCGGCCATTCTGGAAGATGATCAGGAAAACACGCACACTCGGCGGACTCTGTCCTGCTCCGCCATGTGTGGCGTGACCGGCTCTCTCCGGAATCGGGCGCGGAACGATGACGATGACGGGATGACGCTCAGGAGGTCGGACGGAGCGGACGGGACTGTTGGGTCGGCATCAGGAGTGGCAGCACGGATGTTGTTCAGCGACAGCAGCAGTGGCTCTGGCAGCGAGTCTGATTGTGAAGATGAAGCACAGCCCTCTGTTGCCCTTGAGCGGCCACGGTTGCCCTTGGAGTTTCAACGGAATCGTGAATTCCTGGAGGCTGACGCGGAGGAACGTGTGCAGTCCGAGGTATTTGTTTTATCCTCTTGGAACGTTGTGCTTGTTCACTGTTCACCCATGTAAAAACGATTCTGCTTGCGTTAGCGAAAAATGTTAGCGTAATTGAATTAATGTAATGTGATTTATGTAGCTATAAATTTAGATGTAATACATTTTTATGACGTATTATTGAAAGTAACTAATGGGTAGTTCCACAAATTGGGCAAATACAATCTCACATACAGTAACATTTAAAAAATAATGCATACAGATTGCTATGTAAATCATCTGTAGTTTTCGAAAATATGGATTATTTATGGGCTAAATCAATGGTCGCTTGGTATTTTTAATGCGTTGATGATGAAGTCAATTTGTCCGAGTATGGCAAACACCGTAGTATTTTTGCCTAAACATTTTTCCCTGATCCGAAACACGCCGAGTGTCTCCCAATTCCGTGGTCTGTACACGACTCATCTATTCAGACTCGCCTTGCCATAAAATCAATTTTTTTAAATAAAAAAAATTGTTCCTTTACTTTTGAATACTTTTTATTCGCCACCCACCTTTCTGATACTATTCATTGCGCACGGTTGCACTTTATTTTACTCCGTCAGTGTTAGCCACTGAGGTCGTGACGGGCTTCTGTTTTCATTCCTGTTGCTATATGCCCCCCTGTACCGTTCCCGTTCCGTTGTAATGTGCACTGATGCCCTCTTTATTGAGGGCGATATTGGCACGTAAATAAAGATGTATTGATTAATCAAACATGCTATACCCCAGTAACAAAGCTGATTCATGATTACACTAATGATACCCCACATTTTTAAAGTGGTTTAAATGTGCATCAGAAATAGTGGATCTCCACTGAGGACATTGTAATAAATTACATGTGCTTTGCTGCCAGTTTGGTTGAGAATAGAACAAAAACTACGTGAATGTTGTTTTTCCCCTTTTTTTTGACAACAAAACACAGGTGTTAAGGTGTTAAAACACCAATCTGAAACCTTTTACAAGGAATTATGTCTGCATTAACCACAATGCTTGTGGTCAGAATGCAAAAAAAAACATACTCTCATAATATATGCATTGTCCTTGAAACTGATTGGTCCACACCAGAGACAGCTTTCTTTTCTAGCCTAGTCTCAAAACGTAGCTGCTCACCCCGAGCTTTCATTACTCTGATAGTGCTTCTTTGGGCTGTACACCTTTTGGCGTCCTCTGGTCTAACACCGTTTGAGATGAGGCTCCAAAGAAAGCTGTCTCTGGTGTGGACCAATCAGTTTAAAGGACAATGCATATATTATCAGAGTATGTTTTTTGTTTGCATTCTGACCCCAAGCATTGTGGTTAATGCAGACATGATTCCTCGTAAAAGGTTTAAGTTTGGTGTTTTAACATCTTAACACCTGTTTTGTAGCCAGAAAAAAGGGGGAAAACCTATTATCATATTTTGGTACTGGCAAAGGAGGTCCCATGATCTACGTGAATGTTGTTGACGGATAACTACTTACAGTGTAGGCACGGCATTAGAATATACGGCACATGGCACTGAGGGGGCATTGCCATCTGTTACATGTTCCATGCAGGAGAGAAGTCGCATGAAGAGAGTTGGAAGAAATCGGCGCAAAGGAGATCGATGGTTGCAGAAAAAGCAGGATACGGACAGAGGAAAGGTCAGATTCCTGCACGGCTCGGTGGGATTACAGCTCATGGTTAGGCATGTAACGATCTGTCCATTCATTGATTCAGCGTTTGAAACATATTTTCACGTTCACTGTACGTGTGTCAAGTTGTGAGTTTAAGATTCGTATATTTACGGGCACATACAAATATTTCCTTGGTACGAATGAAACATGTCTAACAAAGCAATCAAGGCAGACAATACAATCAAGACAAACATTCTTGAATCAATATGCGACGTTGCATTGCCGTTTTGGTGGAGGGTGAATCATCAATGCATGCCCAATGGCTATAGTCCTTTGAATTAAAGCAGTACAACTCTTGAATAAATTCATCAAGAGGATGTTTTAACTTAACAAAGGTGGATGTGAAAACACAAAGTAATGCAAATCCACTGTTAGAAGTCACATGGTGCGATATCTCTTAAGCAATGATAATTGAGAATAGGGCAGCTAAAACGATAACGCTTGACCTGAAGATGTGTACACAGAGCAGTGCAGCGTGAACTAACTTGCTGTTTTAAGTGTGGCCTAAAGCTGTGTACATAATGGTGCCATTCAAGTCGCCATGAATTGGTTTTATAATTGTCCACCCCAAGATAAATTGAAAGTGGATTCAGGATAATTGATTTCTTATCTAACTGTAACCTTAGTGGCTGTAACCATCATGACCTTTCAGGTCGCAGCTGAAAATCACTGGCATTGCATGCGCTCGGTAGCACGGTGGTGTCCGTGCGTTAGCGAGAGAGTGATCCGAAGTGTTTTCTATAAAGCATTATTGTGATCAATATAATATGATGGCAATCCATGCAAAGTAGTTCTCAAATTTAGCACGCTTGAGTCGGCGCTCTAAATGTCACGTCCACTTGCTGGGGGAAACTATTGACAAGTGTCGTTGCTTCGCTGCCACATATGGAGGGGAGCTCTCAGTTGCTACCTCAGTCTGCTTGATGTGAGGATTCATTGCCACGCAGCTAGCTCGATGGGTTAACCCTGCACTCGAAGAATGCAGTCCAGTCATTCTCGCCATTGTTTGTTTATTTCCTTGTTTCTCTTTTACTGCAGCTACCACAGTCATTGTTCTCATTAATCTAACCCCTCGATACGTCTGCCGATATCAGCGACTCTTCCGACTAGATCGAATGTTTATTCTCGTCCGCATACACCATGTTAATTTGCCATATCGTCGGACGTGACAATTCTCTTCTTACTTCTTTCCGCGTGCCGCTGGACTATTGAACGCACTCCCGTCAACTATTTCCCCACGTTGCAATAGCCACGCTCAATGTGTTTGTTTTCTGCCACGCTATCACAAGTACCCATTCTTGCCGACCTTTGGACCTCTGCTCAGCAACTGCGATAAACGAGACCAGTTTGCGTATATCTTAATGCACTAATGGGGGGGGGGGGGGGGCCACGTTTCACTCTCAAGGACTTGATTGATTGAATGGCCTTAATGGGAGTAGGCAGCAGCGCTGAACTGGATAGGCTTTGTCAGCTGTTGTGCTGACTCGATTTGAAACCTAAATGGAAGCAGTCATGATTAATCCACATCGTATGTACATTAACATGTGTTGATAAGCACACTACACCAATGTGCAAAACACACATGTTCAGCATTACGTTATACATATTGTGCAACATGGAAGAATGTAACGTTATACTGCTTGAACTTAGGTAGCATTATAATATGGCCATATCTCAAAAAGTGTGCTTTTAGTTGATATTATTTTATAGTAATAGTGGGGCGGTGGCGCTTTGGTTAGCTCACTGCGCTGTGAAACCGATAACCACGCTGGTCAGTGTGGGTTGGTGTTGGGAGCACTCAAGACCAGGTCTGATATCACTCGCTACTGATGGTAGCTGTGACTAGAAATCAAACGAGTTCAGTGTGCTAACCAGCGCGTTACCACTCCACTGCACTATCAATTAACAAATATGTAGAACATAAGCATGATTAAGTGGACAACATGTCTCTTTGTATATCCGTCTCTCCGCATAACAAATAAAAAAATATCTTATACAACCCATCAGCCGCACGGCCTTCTGGAAGTGCATAATATCAGCATCGTTGTTTCAAATACAAGCAATATGCTGGACTATTTTCGACATGCATTGTCTCATGCGCAGTCAGGCTTGCGTGAATAAATGCAATTAAACGGCCGATCTTACAAGCAAGGGCCCCTTTTTTACGATGTGGTTCCTAGTTTTATGCAACATTATATAATACAGTAAATAACTAAAAATAATCGTGAGCGTCGTGGAGTATATAAATAACATAAATTAGCAGACAATATATGTCCCTTTCATACATCTGTCTCTCCACTTAAATATTTAAAGGATTCTTTACGCGACCCATCAGACACATAGCCTTTTGGAAGTGCATAATTTCAGCAGCAGAGGGTGATCGATTATTGATACCCCTCTCATCCATAATGCACCTCTTACTTCTAAACACGGAATTGAACATTGTGAAAGTGATGGCTGCATACCTTGCATAGGAGAGTGCTAAAAGATTTAATGATTGTATTTAGATTTATGGGAGACGTGTGGAGTCTTTGAAATGAGATGCTGTTTTCCATCTAATTTTTCCATATTATTTTGATCCTAGGTACATTCAAGCAGCATAGCATTACGTTTCTTCGACACTGCATAAGCTATCAAATGTAATGTAATGTTGTCATTCACCGCTGGCTTTCGAGCCACCTTGCCCAGGCGTGTCCCCACGTGTCGCGCAATGACCGCCGCGCCCGCTGCACGCACGGCGCTTCCCGTCTCCCAGCGTGCCCAACGCGACGGGGACACGGCGGAGGAGAGTGAAGGCGACGCCGAGATGGAGGGTCACACGTGCGCCGTCTGCCTGGACGTCTACTGCAGCCCCTACCTGTGCCACCCGTGCCGCCACGTGTTCTGCGAGACGTGCCTCCGCAGCCTGGCGCGCGACAACCCGGGCAGCACGCCGTGCCCCCTCTGCCGCGTCCTCATCCGCCGCGTCACCTACCAGCCGGGTAACGGCGACCATAGGGACAGCTTGATTTGCCCTCTGGGCGATTCGATGCGTCGTCACGATTCGAGGTCGTGAACCTCAATGGTAGATTGTGTCCGGAGATTTTGCATCCTTTGTGTATGCGGACACATCAGTGCTTGACGTACTCCACTGTAGATGCTTGCTTGCTGCATTTTCCCCAACAGCTGTTACGGCTGTATATGGCTGAAAGTTGGCACAGTGGGAAGCACAGTTGGTGCATCTGCCAGTCATCTAAGTCAATCCTTGGCATCTGGGTCTGTTGCTTGACCTCTTGCCAGCGGGCCTTCGACACTTCACATGGTCTCAAAGTGCACCTAGCATGGCACAAGTGTCGTGGTGACGTCACTGCCACTTAGTGGTTAACGTTGGTTGTTTTATGTCTGTATGCATGCCTATCTATGTATTATATATAGGCAGTTTGATGAAGATGGTAATTTTTCATGCTGACCTCCATAGATCCTTGCTAACAGCTCTTTTTCTGTGAGGCTAATCAGGGGCTGTTGTTGTGCGTGTGTGTGTGGTCCGTGCGATAGTGTAGCGGTGGGCGCACTGCGCTACAAACCCAGGGACCCGAGTTTGATTGCTGCTCACTTCCCTAGGTCGGCTTAGCCTCATATGAGCACCTGGTGTGGTGTATAAACATCGCAACTCGGGAGACAAAGGCGGCCGGCGTGGTGCTGGCCACCCACCCTCTCGTGTGCTGCCCTGGCCTTCATAGGTGCTGGCTAATGGCACTTTTCCCACCAGTCTGTTAAGGCTACATGGGGGATCTTTGTCTTTGTGTGGTCTGTGCAGCCCTCGACGATGCGGCAAAGCTACTGTTCCCACGAGCGTATGTGGCACGCAAGCGCTCCGACCTGAGGCTGCACGGGCCGGACTGGCCCCTCCCGGGAAGGCAGGGGGGACTGCGCACGATCATGGCCTCCCTGAGAGGTACGGCACTGTCGCACAGCCCACGCCAGCCTCATGCGATGGATCTGCACGCATCACACAGGGCATGCGGTGGTTCTGTAGTTGAGATTTCAGCCCACGAGAGGGGCAGATAGAGAGCTAAATGACGCAGTGGATGAGCCCTTGTTGGCACCTCGCAGTTGTTTGTTCAGTAAATAAATTATCAGTCGTAGTTTTGGGAGATGTTCACGGATTGAAGATTCCATATTTATTAGGCATGTAACACTGCCTTGATTCTTGTGCTCACGATACGTCATTCAAATAATGTGTGAGAGAACGAAGCAGCACCGACAAAATCGAATGCATGGAACTGGCTAATACTGGAGAGGACATCATTCTTCAAACGAAACAGAACAATTTGAGAGTGCAAACTAAACAGTACCAATGATTTATAAAGTAGTACATTATTGATTCGAATTGTGACCCCGCACAGTGAGAATTTAATTAATCACTTTGTCTATATTTCTCTGACCATAAAGACTTGAGCAACGGTGGTTACCTTGTGACAGATACAGGTTGTTTTTATTTGCTGTTTAATTTTAGGGAATTTTCCAATCTTGAGATTTTCATTACGGGACACAAGCAGTGCCCCACTGTATGTGTGTTTCTGCATATTTTACGTGAGACACAACTCGTAATATCAAAGCTCAATTTGAGTCTCTCCTCCACGCATTACATCCGACAGGTCCTCGTGCGCGATTATGCGCTCGTCCACGTGTGTGCGAGATGTGTCCTGTCGATTTGACGACAAAGCTTACCTTTGTTTACCGATGGAAATTTTCCGTTTCAAAAAGCAATTATGTATGAATTTACTTCAAAGCTTCGACTAAACTCTTTCATTCAGCTCGACTGAATGGAAATATTTATAGCATACTAAGGCCGAGGTAGAACTGAGCTCGGTGTAAGCTCATAAACTAGTAGAACATAGCTTTGCGCATTACAGGTAATTTTGGCATACTTTTACAAATGATTTAAAAAATGCCCACCCTGATAATTACTGCCCGTGGGTTGTGTGCGTCAATATTTTCATTATTTTTCAATAGTGTTGCATTCGAAGAGAAAGACATTACCTCCTATCCATGTCATATGAGATCCTATTTCCGAACAGTTACTTTTGCTTTGATCTGTATAGTGGGGCATGCATACGCCAGGCAAAATGAGTTTTCTAATGGAACATTGGTTCACTTAATTGTTAGATTCGCCTTTAATAGACGTACACCATCCTGAATATATTCCCTTGAACGAAGGTCTGTGTCTTGTGGACTGCAGTAATTTCATACTCGCCATTTTGATCATGTAGTTCATTACAGGAGCATTTTACAGCAGAGCGTTCAGTCCCGTTGTAATTATAACCAGTGCTATGTTGCACCGCAGCATAGGAGTGTAATGTGCATCAGCTTTTAGCATTCGCAGTGCAATGTCAAGTGAAAGCGACAGATCTAACCTAACATTGCACAATGTTGTTTGTGTAATAGCTTAGCTAATGAACAGACTCGCGGAACTACTAAATGGCGAGTGGCTCAGACGCTAACGTTATTACTTACGTGCGCAATAACCCAGAGCATGACAGTAATAGATTCGGAGTAACAATCTAATCTCGTTTGCAAAAGTTTTTAGCAGTCACCTGTAAACGCCTATAATTTAAATGTCGAAGACTATGGATGGTTTTATTAAGTTATCACTACTTGTCATTGCTGTGATACGGATGTGAAAATGCTGGAACGAAACTGCCGCTGTCCTGGGTCACTGTCTCAAACCAGGCGGTGTCTGAATGAATTAGTTAGCCCGAAAACAACAGGGTGAGACGTGGCAAGACACGGCAGTGGTGCCAACTACTGTGAGAGCTCATCTTGTCGGCTAGGAGCATTAGCCTCCTGACTTGCGATTTTCTTGTCACGGGGAAACCGAGAGAGAATCTTACCGTGACCCTTATTCCTGAGTGGCATTTTTCATCCGGAATGGAGATTATAGCGGGAAAAACGATTGCGCTGCAAACGGATTATTGTGATCCTGGGCGTAAATCTCAATAAATGACAGGGCAATGAACGGAGCACACGCTGTAATACTGTGTTTTGTGTTTTTTTGCGTGCGTTTTAAAGATCCAAAGCTGCCATTAAGAAACAGCCGACATGGGCTTTTCTGATTTTGTGTGATTCCGGTTCGTTGATTAAAGAACGCTGCGAACGCCAAGCAACAAGCAGCTCTATGTTGCACGTAGAAAAGTATGTAAATGTTTTGCAACCCCTCGTGATTTGATAAATGATTGCGATTCATGGTCAGTTTTGAAATTCATATTGCGATGTACCCAAAGGGTACTGAAAAACAATGCAATACAAACAAATACAAATGATCGTTTCTGACATGCATGCGGCATTAGCATAAAACGTGTGCAGATCCTTAGCATAAATGTTGCATTAGCATATCATTTGCACAAATCATAAATAATTGATGCTCTTACGCATCATTCGGTGCATGTCATGAGTGTAAGAATAAGCTTTAGTCTATGAATTGATCCGTGGGGTACATGTCTTATGCAAACGAGACGAGAAAAAAAATACATTCTAGAATGGAATTGTGACCCCGAATCGTGACGGTTCATCAAATCGCGCAAGGCAGGAATTGTTTCCGCGCCTCTCGTGGCGGCAGCTCGGGGGGACACCCCGCAGCGCCACAACGCCGCCCGTGTGCCACCGCCTGACAGCGCTAATCGTGGACAACCTTCCGAGTTGCAGGAGCGAGCGGGCGTCCCGGCACGCAGCTGCGCTGGCATCTCCCGCACGCCTTCCGCCTGGACGAGGATGAGGAGCAGAGCCGAGGCTGGCTGGACATGGACCGCATCATCATCTACGTCTATTCCATCAATTGGCTCATTGGCTTCGTCACCTTCTGCTGCTTTTGCTACCTGCTCTTCACCTCCATATTCTAGGGGCAGGCAACGGTGGGGGGGGGGGGGGGACCCCTTGTCCCCTCCCCCCACCCCACCGTGAGCCGTACCCACCCCCCAGGTTTATTTTGTGCGGCTACGTGAGACCTAATACTTTGAAACGGCCCCGAAAACAATGCTTGTCGTCTTGCAAGCATCTTCGCCACACAAATCGGGTACTTAAAGAGGAAATAAATTATTCGACCTGGAAACACTGTGTTTCTGATTTTAGCGCGTATCGACAGTCGGTCAACATGCGCATTATTTTAACGCATCTTTATGAAATAACGCTAAGGTGTGCGTTCACGTGCGGCCCGCCAAAAATATTTTCAAAGTCCTACATCGCTTCCTGCATTGAGTAAAAGGTTTTCCATGCCGGTTTTGCGGGGTGGATCTTGGCGGCCGGTTCTGGCCGCGTTTGCGACTCGTGTACCTGTGGCAGGTAGGAGCTTCGTGGCCTTAAGTTCTGAGGGAGCATTGCCGGGAGGCTTGCGTGAGTCATGGGCATTCATGGTTTCGGGTGGTTGAAGATGACAGCCTTCTCGTGGCCTACCCCGTTTTGTGGAGTAATGGTCATGCCGCTGCAGTATTCTTCCCGTGGGTTTTAGCTGGAAGCTTTTGTTCATTTTAATATGATTTTGCTTGAGCCTATTCAAATGAAATTTAAACAAAAAAAAACATTAACTCAAATTGAACTTTTTTTTTAATTTACCAGGTAAAGCCCACTCAGCTATATAGCTCTTTTTCAAAAGCGACTTGTCCACAACTGATAGCTGAACGAACTGGCTTATATCATGTGGAAATTTATAGGAGACAAATCCTTTAAATTAATGTTTCTAAATATGGAGGGAAAAACCGGAAGACCTGGAGAAAAATCCACGCGACCACGAGGAAAACATGCAAATTCAAATATACACAGGCATCAGGGTCGGGATCGAATGCACGACCTCTTTCATACCAGGCGAGGTAGTTAATGTCTCACCATCGTGGCACCATTATCTTGTAGATACATGTCAAGGCGATGTCCCAGGCTTGCAAACACTTCACTCACCGGTGACTTTTGAGTGTGCAACTTCATTCATGAGAAAAAAGACAAATGTTTAAGATCATTACAATAGATAGCACTCTGCTAATGTGGCTGTTTTAACATTGAATTAAAATTGAAGACTGGTATAACAGTCCCATAATGGCACACGTGACCTTAGCTTTAAAGTACAGTCCCATAATGGCACACGTGACCTTAGCTTTAAAGTCTATTTTCTCATTAATGAAGTCCAAGAGTCGTGCTGGACACCCCAGAACACAGCCTAGGTACATATCTACAAGATATTTGTTAATTGGATTACGTAAAGGACTACGTGATACAACCGTGCAGTTTTGGTGAAGCATATTAGCTATTTACACGCCTTATTTACAAATATAAACATAGTGATTACTTATGCGGTAGGCTTTTATTATTAAGATAGGGCTTATGCGCACAGCATGTCTGAAGGGTGGTTGGGATTTGTCTGTGACACACGCAGTCCCTGCATCTGGGTAAGCATGGATTGCCCCCGAGAAAAATTATACAGAGCACATTCAGTCGTCGAGTTCTCCAGTCCACAGCACAATGTTTGCTTGTGACCTCGTGTTTACAAAACATAGGGAGTGAAGTCTGCAGTCACAATTTCAACGTATATGTGCATGGATATGGTGGCAGTTGTTGAGTTGCATTGTTTCTCCCAGCCATGGGATGTTTTGTACTTTGGCTTGCAGTTTAGTTGCAATATATTGAAATGTATATTTTTTATGTTTAGTTCTTATTGAGGGTGAATATAAATATATACACAGTAAAATAGACTTATTTTACAATTATTTGCTGCAGAATGCCCTAATGATAAACCTTTGCTTGCTCAGCAGTTGTCCACCGCACAAAGTGTGCAACGAACAATTATGATCCGCATAATTTCTTAATTCCCAAATTGCAGGTGGTTTCCAAATTGAATAGGTTAAGCGTCCAATTTATGGAAGATTTAAGTACATAGATAACGCCCTTCAACTGGAACCTCTGATTCCATGAAATCTATCGCAGGAATTATATTTGGTTCAATAAGCCCTTTGGACCACACTGAGACGGGGAATATGTAAGGGTGGCTGCTGATGCGGTTGTCTGGCTTGACCATCTGATTGTGAAATTGTAGTCGTTGCTCGGCATCTACGTCATCAGCCATTCCAGAGGTCGGCGACTCGAATAACAAGAAGAGCCATTTCGAATTTGGTAAGAAAAATTCTATATTTCAAGAGGCCGCAATGCACGTGAATCCGAGACAATCCCGAATAAATATCGTTACGAAGCAGTGCGTAATAAGCCGCGGGTTGCCGACCCCTGCCCATGATAAACTGAGCTTTCCATGGTAAACTGGACTCTCATGGTCAGGCATCGGCAACCAAAATAACAAGAAGAGACATTTTGTTCGGATTCGGGATATATAACATAAACTCATTGTTTCAAGAGCCGCAATGCGGTCATTAAAGAGCCGCATGTTGCCAACCCCTGAGCCATACGAAAGAAGAAAGGGGTGGCCAAAACTGTCTGTTGAAAACAACTGCAATGAGCCCGCACAGGAGTCCCTCTCTTGGCGATGCCACCCAACAAAAGTGGAAGGAAAGGCAAGTTGTGGAAAGATGGACAAACAAGGTGGATAGATGCAGGGGTACAAGTTCAAGAAGAGAAAAGGATTGAGAGTGAACGAATCGTTGATGCTGGCTAAAGAAAGAATAATGGGAATTTGTTTGGCCCCATCCTTGCTAATGAGCTGAAGGAAGGGACAGATATTTGTGGTTTATCTATATAATGCCTCAAATAACGAAACGAAGCGCTCATGCCTTGCAAGTGGATGCAACAGAGCTGATAGTACCATTTATTTTTTTGTAGACTTGAAACGGCCTGCGAATGAATAGCTGATTATAACGAGCTCATAATGGAAATAGACGCTTCGAAGTCCTGTTGTGTTTTTTTGTGTGTTTACACACTCCAGATAAATAATCCACCCATGTGGGTCAACTGCATCATCTCAATATAGCCCTGCATAGGCAGCATTGGGTGCGTCAACAAGGCAGCTCGTGGAGGACGCTGCCACTGGGCAGATGGAGGCAGTCGTCCTCCAGCAACAACGGAGGGCAGAGGAGCGACGCTCACAACAACGGGCGGAGTGCCGGGCGACTAAAACGCAGCAAGTTGGCACAGTAGGGGGCACAGGTGGTGCATCTGCCATCGTCAAACCATGAGATACGGCGACGGCTTTGGGAGAGATCTTCATGCAACAGTGAATAGATTACGGCTGCTGATGATGATGTTGAGACGCATTGTTTTGTCGAAGCAACCTCGGGTGATTTTTTCTTCTCTTTTTCTGAGTGTCATCATCAAGTTAAACAAATGCTGCCGAGTTGCCATATGACGATGCCTGATGGTTCTACATTTTATTTAATATTTTTGCTTACGAAGCGGACACTTGTCTGTTATTTTATGACTTGCAAACCACCGTGACGCCACGTAATTATTTTACGCGTATATTGATTTTGGTATATTCGGTAGAGGGTCTGGCAGCAGTTGCAAAGAGTGCTTTAGTACCATTAGGTTGCGTGTATGGTTTACTTTCAGTAAGTACATAAGTGTTTTATGGCACCATTTTAGTCGGCGTGTAATGATTTAACCAGCCTCCAAATTTGATGAATTGGTATAATTTGGGAGCATCATTCAGTCCGTGGATCGATTATTTTTTTTCTATCGTTTGTATTTTGCCTCATCTCGACTGTCGTGTGTTTTGTGTATTGTCAGTTCCTAAAGGTAACATTGCATACATTTCGGCATAAATGCTACATTATTCTTGCGCACACATTTCAATAAATGTACGGTATCTTTTAAAAGTAGGAATATATTTTTAAGTGATTGAATTGTCCACGTTTACCATTGACACTACACAGGTTATCCAGTGTTTGTTGCTACGATTCGATGTTTACTGCAATCAGCTACGCACATTTATTCCGTGCCATCATGCCACCGTTATCGGATAATTTAATCTCGTGAATGCTTTCACGGCAAATTCATGTTGCCAGTACCAAATTTCTGTTGTGAATACGCGCCATTTCCAGAAATGTTCGACTATTATTTCTGCTGTAAAGGCAGCGCTAATGATGAACGTCGTAGCCGTTATTGTTTCTGGTTTGTGCTGTGTGCACCAATGCTAACACCAGTCCCGTATTTGTTTTTTTGTCCCCATAGTATTACGCCTTGGGCAGTACATATACACATGTCGTTTTCTTAGTAATACGTTTACAAAACTGCCACCCTTTGCAAACAACTTGGAGTTGCATGATATAGTAAAATAAACACTTTGCTTTCAAAAACAACACGTCTAAGTGTGACGTTTTTGGCCGCTTTGGGAAATTAAGGAACCCCCCCCCACGCTAAAGTGTGGTGCTGTACCTTAAGCGACCTCCATTCGCTTTCATAGAGACCAATTAAAGGAAGACCATTCACTTTAATTGAGGTCTATTTAGATGATATCCCACGGGTTCTATCGCAATGAAGCGTCCTCCACTGCATTACGCTCGGCATTGCGTTAACCCTTTGCCTAGCTTCAAGGTTTGGGTCGTTGCAGTTTTATTACGAAAGGTGCAACAGAAAAAAACCAATACGGAGCGATAGCACTGCTGTGTAAGATGTCATTAGTTTGATTTACGTGTTAAACATATTGGTTGTTAACGTGAGCACTGACAAACTGGTGGGGGGGGGCTGATAAGTGGGCAAGTAAACGTGGAGAGATCGATGCTTGGAATTACGCAGAGGACAAGGGGAGAAAGAAGCACGTGGATCGTGGAGCGCTGCTTTCGGCGTCATGTCGACTGTTAAGGGAGGTAAAGTGGCTTTTGGCAGGAACCGTTATGGTCAGCAGGCATGATGACCGATAGGCGAGACTTGTTGACGGAAGCCGAAGGAGAAGGCACCGGAGAAGGCAACCAGTGTGGAGGTGGGAGCGATGCAAGGCCGTAGCCATCGAGTCAACATTGGGGGGGGACCAAATCTTCCAGGGAGTCTAGGGATCACCCCCAGAAAAAAAATCTAAGTTTGAAAAATTATTTCCTGCCATTTCCTGCTTAAAATATTTTTAAAAATTCACTAACACATAGGATGGGTTTTACTTATTTATTTATTACAATAATATCTAATAGTGTATTGTATTACATTGCTCTGTTTTTTCTTTTTTTAACCTTTTCTTGTTTCATTGTATGTAATGGCAGAGATTAGTCGATTAATAAAGTACAACCATAACCACAATCATAAAAACAGAAATCTATAGCAATATATTTGGGGGGAAATTTTGAGCCTATTTGAATATTGGGGGGGATGTGTGTCCCCCAATATATATTATAATTACGGCCTTGGAGCGATGAGATGATGATAAGGCGCCACGGGTGCGAGATCTCACCATGCCTGGAGGGTGCGTGGATTCGATACCGACCCTGACGATGCCTGTTGTGTATTCGGGGTGTGCATGTTCTTCTCCGTGGGCGCGTGGTGTTGCCCTCCACATGTTTAGAAATTACATGCGTTGAGATGATTCCGCTGCTACTGTAAATTCCCACGTGTGATGGTATAATGTAAGTCACCTCGGTGAGCTATCATCACGGTATGGCCAGGTCGCCTCTGAAAAATAGCTAACAGCTCAGTGGGGCTTGATCTGGTCAAATGAAATCGTTTCTAGAGATGAGTCTATGTGCAGACGTGAGACGGACTGTGCCATCGCACAACCATCAGAGATGGTGACCACGTGGATAGAGCTTGTGGCTCGCGATGATGTAATGCGGTATTAACTGGGCGATGGTGTGTGTGTGTTTATCTAGTGTTGGCTACGCACCCTCTTGTGTGCCCTGCCGGCCTGTATAGGCGCTCGCTAACAGCACTTGCCCCAACATTCTGTTAAGGCTATACGTTGGATCGTTGTATGTGCATCGATGCCGACCGTTGATGTATCCAAGAGCGTGAATCGCTACCTGAGATTTGTGCAGATAACTGCATGGTGTGCGTGGATCCTTGAACGGTAGCTATGAACCCACGACGGACCAGATATTTCACTCGTTGATTTCGCCAGAAGTGTGCATAATTTTAGCGGTTCCAGATTCTGTATAAACTATAAGATCTTTTTTTTTATTTTACCAGGTAAGGCCCGCTGAGCTATGTAGCTCTTTTTAAGAAGCGATCTGGCCACAAATGATGGCTCAACGAAGTGGCTTATCATGTGGAAATGTATAGCAGCCAAATGCTGTACACGCGTGTTTCTAAATATGGAGGCAAAAAAACCGGAGGATCTGGAGAAGACCATGCCAATTCCAAATATACTGGCACCGTCAGGGTCGGGGTCGAACCCACGACCTCCTGTACAGCAGGCGAGTTGGTTAACATCTCCCCACCGTGGTGCCAATGATGGGGTGGGGAAGTGAAACTCCCATCACCTGACCGCCACGCCACGGTTATCATGCATTATGTGGCCAACAATAGTGTATTACGCAATAACCACCTGAAATCAGTGGGGTTACGTAATTCACCTGTATCGGCCATATAAATACATCGGTATTACGAAAGTTCCACGACCTTAGGTGGTACCGATTTCCGCTCTGGCTCGTGGACGACACGGCGGGGAGAGAAGACGCTCACGAATGAATGATTTCAGGGATGGAGGACAAACAGACGCAACCACTAATAGCCTACAAACCCCTGCCTGAACATATGGCACGGGTCCCTCGTCAGGGTAGCTGGGTGTCTGTTAAAAGCACCGGATGATACTCTCTTTCAAAACGAGTAGCTGCGTTTCTAATTTGAATCGGAAAACGTTGCTTCCTCCAGGTGGGCATGGAATGGTTGTGCACGAACGGATTCCTGAATCTATGCGTATGGAGCATTGGGTGTTTTCTCTTGGTGTTCCTGTTTTCTCCCATCTCAATAACATTTATTAATTGATTATAATGCAATATATTCCAATGTACCTAATTTCATACTGTGTTATAAAAAAAAAAAGTAACATGTTTTGCTGGCTGGCTGGTGGGAGAGACGGATGGACGTGCGCATTGCTGGTCAAATACGAATTAAGTAGTTGTGCGCACCTGATGATTGCTAAACACGTGCTACGTGACGCTTACGTCACGATGGAGATTGTTTGCGTCCGTGTTTGCCCCCACGTGACGTAGAGAGCCCGCTCGCGTGCGTCCCGCGTGGCGTGTTCAACAACCATCAGGCGCATGTGGTGTGTCACGACTTAATCGTGATCGCAACACAAGACCGCTTGTGTTGCGATCGAAACGTCGTGGGTTTTTTGCTTTTATTTTTTTTTAAACTAATTCTACGTGGCTTTACCGAAAGAACCAAGAATTAGAATTCCTGCAGTCACGAAAGTTTTAAGTCAAACATTGTGTCAGCAGAGGTCTCAAGGTTTTGCAAACTCGTAAAGAGACGCCGTGGTGGGTCGCGAGAAATCGAATGGAGGGAACACGGAGGCAGTGAACCGTGGCAATGCCGTCGCAATGCTTTTGCCTCCCGCACCACAGCGATGTGAAATTCCCATCGCCGGCTCAGGGCCCATCAGCGGAAACGAGCCGTCGACAATGAAGCAAGCACGGCGTCAGTTACACACGTGACGACGGCAGTTCATAAATGTATGGATGCTAAGCCACTTGTATAATGGAATTTGGTGTAAGGATCGCGAACGCACACTCATCCGTTCGCTGTCGGGGACGCCTCCAGTTAATTTCCTAAAACGGATGACGCACGCGCAGACATCAAACGGCTGATAATGTATAGAAGCATTTTTCATAACTGGAATGTCGGCAGCCTGCGGCCGCCTTACTCTAGCTCCTGCCTACAAAATTAATCAGGACTTTATTGTACGTAGGGTGTGTAGGCATATATGCCTACAAAATTAAAATAACAAATTTGGGGAGGTGGAGTCACATTTTGTTTTGGTGGGGGCTGTTCTACAATTTTGGGAAACTTGTTGGATAAACTTTTTACCCCTATATATGGGAGGGGGGGGGGGGGTCCACTTTCTATAATTTTTTGATTCAGGCCTTCTGAAAGGCTCTTATAATTTAGTTAACGGGCAAACGGACATACGGACAAACAGAACGCCGGGCTTTTATAATAGACTAGCTTGACTACCCGGCTACGCCCGGGACTTGGATTCACCACGCCCGGCCGCCTTTGTCTCCCCAATGGCAATGTTTACACACTACACCAGTTACTCGTTTGAGGCTGAGTCGACCTAGGGGAGGCCCAGGAGCGGTTGAAATAATCGTCACCGGTGGGGGCCGTGAGCGGGAATCGAAGTCGGGTCGCTGGGTTCGTAGCGCAGCCCGCTAACCACTACACTACAATGCGTTACGCTTCCACATGCGCGGGTCACATGACATGTGACGTCACAGCTCACTTGCCGTGCAAAAAATATATGCATTATTGAGCTCCCCCCCCCCCCCACCAAAAAAAAGTGTATGTTATCATGTTTGCATGGTGTACAGTCTGGAAAGTACCCACATGGCAGATTTCAAGTTTCTTGCATGTCGGGAAGTACGCTAAACATTTTGAACAGACACACATAATCACAACTTTGCCTTTTATATATATGGAGATGACAATCAAAACTGTTAACAATCACGGCCAAGAACACTGCAGCGACGTCACCGCAGTGGCGTTATATTAAACGAGGACGACAAAATAATGCTGCAACACGCGCGTGGAATTTGGAACGCTTTCCAACACGTACTTAATGGAGTGCTCAATAGGCGACAAGAACGTTGCCATGTGACTTGCAAGCGGTACATGACGCCATCGCCTTGGGCGCCACGGTGAATCCTTTTAGCGCTGGTTTTATCCCAAAGTTTTGGGGGCGGTGGTGGGGGGGGGTGCAGAAATCCTTTGTTTAACTTGGCCGATTTTCTCCAGGGTAAATGCCATAATAGCAATGCAACTATATACTACGAATAATTATAGTGCATCATCTTTACGAATAGTATTGCCGTGGTCCCACGTGTACAATGACAGGCGGGGGAGGGAGGGGAGGGCAGCTAATGCATTCAGGCTTTTGAACGGTAGTCGGAACACGTTGAGAGGTGTACGAGAGTGACTCCCAGACCTAGCGTGTGCCAATTGTTGAGCGTGGTGAGAGTGGCTCCGGCTGTAATGGGGGTCCAACGTTGACCGCTGAAACACGAGCCGCCGTTACTTAATGCATTACTTTCATTCTGCATTATTAATGCAACTGGCGGCGCGAGGTTGTCGATGCCGCGTGGGCCGAAATAATACGTCGCTTCGTTGTCCGACGGGATATGAATGATCACATGCCATGACATTCCCCCCCCCCCCCCCCCCAAAAAAAAGTAGACTTGTAGTTCACAAGATTGCTTTTGTGTTTCGATGATTTCATCGCTGTTATAATGTATTAAATCCAGGGATCACCGATTCACAATGAGTTTCGTTTGGCTTAGACCGTGTAGGTATTATGTACAATTGTTCCCGTGATCAAATCAATTCTAGATTTGAAGCTTTCGTCACTGCAAGGATTCATACTCTTAGATTTTTTTTCGGTAAAGTCACGTAGGTAAAAAATAAAATTAAAATTAATAAAAGTAATAATAGAAATAAAATAGTAATAAAATCACGACGTTTCGGAGGCAACACAAGTCTCCGTCATCAGGTGGGACCGTCACAGCTGGATTTGCTGTATCAAGTGAGGCAGAGATTCCGAGATACAAGTTCTTAAATACAAGTTAAGGGAGAGGAGGGGGGAGCTTATCAGAATGTGGTAGCCAATGAATGGAACGTATTGGGAGGGGGGGGGGGGCTAAAAGAGAACAAAAGGTGTACGTAGACCTGTTTGTGCACAAGCACCTTTTGGTGCACATGCTAGAAGAGAACGAAAATGCTCATGTTGTTTTTACCCAGTGTTGGCTGACAATCAAATACAAAAAAGGAGAGTACTGTTAAACGCTAGAGATGTTAACACTCGGTAAAGTAAAATAGTGCTTGTCAAATAAGATGGTCCAAAAATGTGTAGTTAAATCTTTTTTGCATGGTTAATAACATCTTTCCAATGATTACTAAGTTTGTACCCATCATCACGGTTGAAATTATGTCTCTGT